ATGTGATGGAATGTCAGGAAGATCCCCGTGTGTGTGAGTGGTCACATCTGTCAGAGATCTGCCGGGGACCCTCTGCCCATCGGGGCTCATTCTCACCGGCGGCGTCACCCGCGCCGTGTCGGTCCGGCATTCTGTAACCCCAACACGAGGCTCTGCAGCCAATAAGAATTATATACGTTACGTCTGAGGGAAACAAACCAATCCCGGCGATGCCTTGGAGCAACACCGCAACGCATGTTCACAAAGCACGCAACGCACGTTTAACGCATGCCCAGCGGTGTGAATGAGCCCCATTCAGGTGTAAGGAGATTCCAGGCTGAGATCCATCTGCAGGAACTGAGAATCGGAGACCTCCGTCCATCGTCCACCTTCTCTGATTGGTCTCCTCGTCTTCATTCCAGGGAGGGGTGTTGTTGTGTAGTTCACAATACGAACCTACAGACCGGGGAGATCTGAAATCTGGTACATTCTTCTTGGATTTGAATATTCAGTATAGAACTTGTCTGGACTCTGTCACCATCACTGGATCTCTCTGGACCCCTTCTCTTTTTTGGGGGGGTTCTTTGGTGTCTGGGAGCCGATTCATCTTCATGAAAAGATGTTTATTTACTATGCTAGAAGATCTTCTCACCTCCAATGTGTGGACAGTACACAGGCGGAGAGACGGACGGTCATAGATGGTGAGAGGTCCAGTAGATGGACGGACGGGTAATAGAGGTGATGGGTCCAGTAGATGGACAGACGGGTAATAGAGGTGATGGGTCCAGTAGATGGACAGACGGATGGACGGGTAATAGAGGTGATGGGTCCAGTAGATGGACAGACGGATGGACAGGTAATAGAGGTGATGGGTCCAGTAGATGGATGGGTAATAGAGGTGATGGGTCCAGTAGACGGATGGACGGGTAATAGAGGTGATGGGTCCAGTAGACGGATGGACGGGTAATAGAGGTGATGGGTCCAGTAGACGGATGGACGGGTAATAGAGGTGATGGGTCCAGTAGACGGATGGACGGGTAATAGAGGTGATGGGTCCTGTAGACGGATGGACGGGTAATAGAGGTGATGGGTCCTGTAGACGGATGGACGGGTAATAGAGGTGATGGGTCCAGTAGACGGATGGACGGGTAATAGAGGTGATGGGTCCAGTAGATGGACTGACGGATGGACAGGTAATAGAGGTGACGGGTCCTGTAGATGGACAGACGGGTAATAGAGGTGATGGGTCCTGTAGATGGACAGACGGATGGACGGGTAATAGAGGTGATGGGTCCAGTAGATGGACAGACGGATGGACAGGTAATAGAGGTGATGGGTCCAGTAGATGGATGGACGGGTAATAGAGGTGATGGGTCCAGTAGACGGATGGACAGGTAATAGAGGTGATGGGTCCAGTAGATGGACAGACAGACGGATTCTCTTGTTGTGGTTGGTTTGGGAATTCCTCGTTCTTTCTCTCTCTTGTCCCCGTGTGTTGTATAATGTCCACGCACTGGGCACTGCATAGCTGGGAGAACTGGTGATACTGGTTTATTGGTACACATTAGGCTTCATTACAAAGGACAGTGCAGCCGGATGAACTGAGGAGGAACTCACAGCATCCAGGCAGAGTTTAGGCGGCAGCACCATAATGTAGCCGGACTCTCTGTTATCATTGTCCTCTCTATACTCCTGTAAGGAGTCCATAATTGATTGGTGTGGCTGGCCCTTTAAGGAACTTTCAGGACTGCACCCCTGGAATCACCGAACATCTTCAGTCGGCGATATTATCGTCATTGGATCCTTTTATCTTCACAAAGTGGAGATTTGTAGATAATTGTGTGTCCTGGACTCTCATCATCCGGGATTAGGCGAGTCCCGTCTTCCGTCCTCCTTGTCACATTGCACAACCCGTCACACCGTGTCCCTGGCAGGCTGCAGCTTCACCTGAGTGCCGACACCCGGCTGACCCCATTCCTCAGATCCCAGAAATATCTTCTAATTATACATTCCGGGCCCGAGGAACGTTCATCATCCCCAAATCACCCGTCACCGGTGAGATAGAGATCTGCCCAGACAGTGGCCAGGTCTGCTGGGAGAGGAGCTGTGGAGACATGAGCAGATCCCAAGAGGACACATCTCCCGGAAACAGACGGCAGAACCCAAAACATCAGATCCCTGGAAGACAGATCCCACCACAACAGATCCCAGGAGACCCCATCCCACCAGAACAGATCCCAGGAGACTCCATCCCACCACAACAGATCCCAGGAGACTCCATCCCACCACAACAGATCCCAGGAGACTCCATCCCACCACAACAGATCCCAGGAGACTCCATCCCACCACAACAGATCCCAGGAGACTCCATCCCACCACAACAGATCCCAGGAGACTCCATCCCACCACAACAGATCCCAGGAGACTCCATCCCACCACAACAGATCCCAGGAGACTCCATCCCACCACAACAGATCCCAGGAGACTCCATCCCACCACAACAGATCCCAGGAGACTCCATCCCACCACAACAGATCCCAGGAGACTCCATCCCACCACAACAGATCCCAGGAGACTCCATCCCACCACAACAGATCCCAGGAGACTCCATCCCACCACAACAGATCCCAGGAGACTCCATCCCACCACAACAGATCCCAGGAGACTCCATCCCACCACAACAGATCCCTGGAAGACAGATCCCACCACCGGGGCAGGGAGGGCTACCCTCGGCCACCAATGTGTCCGGTCACCGGGGCAGGGAGGACTACCCACGACCACCAATGTGTCCGGTCACTGGGGCAGGGAGGACTACCCACGGCCACCAATGTGTCCGGTCACCGGGGCAGGGAGGACTACCCACGGCCACCAATGTGTCCGGTCACCGGGGCAGGGAGGACTACCCACGGCCACTAAGGACCAGGAAGATTTCCCCAGCTCTCTTCAGTCCTACACGTGGCCATTTCCCAGGTCGGGCTGTGTGTCTCAGCCAAGCTTGGGGAGCGCCGGGTATCGGGGTGTGGGCATCATCGTTGTGTGGAAGAAGGCCACGGCGCTCTCTGATTGGTGGAAATATGGGCCTGATAGTCGAAAAATTTACATTTTCTTGATAATCAGCACCAATCTTTCCTCTGTGACATCACATGATATTTCTGCCCGTGATGCGTCCTATGTGTGCGGTGCGTCCCGTGTGGTGCGTCACGTGTGCATCAGCGCAGCGTTCCCGACCAACGCAGGACAATGAATATCTAGAAGAAAGCCGGGACGGTTATTGGACAGAAGATAATGCAGTCTGTCCCCCCCCCTGGAGTCTGCGTCCCCCCCGCGGTCTGTGTCCCCCCGGAATCTGTGTCCCCGCAGTCTCTTCTTACGTTGGTGGGGACGTCCGCTGAGCGCGCCGCGTGCTGGCAGAGAAAAGCCGATCCGCCGCCAGTCTCTGCGCCCAGAATACGCCATCCAGACAGGACGTGTCACTCCCGGGGCGGGGGGGGCAGAGCCGTGTGATATCCGTGCGCTGCACAACGTGACACATGTGTTCTGACACAGCCGGAGTCACCGCAGCACCCAGAGGCGTCTGTCACATCCGAGCTGGAGCATGGATGCCTCATGTCCTGGCAGCGCGGGGGCTCTGGGGCCGAGAACCTCAGCAATGACGCACACTTTGCTCTGTCACCCCGCCGATCCGTCACTGTGCCAGTCACCCATACATGCATCCCGGACGTGTCACCGTGCACAGGAACCGCCATCATTACAAAGCCGGCCCTCAGCTCCAGTCAGTGACAGCGCATAGGCTGAGATGATGTCATCAGTCTGCTGCAGGCAGGAGGAAGCATTTCCTCACTCTCCCCTCCCCCAGTGATCAGTCTGCTGCAGGCAGGAGGAAGCATTTCCTCAGTCTCCCTCCCCCAGTGATCAGTCTGCTGCAGGCAGGAGGAGGCATTTCCTCAGTCTCCCCTCCCCCAGTGATCAGTCTGCTGCAGGCAGGAGGAAGCATTTCCTCAGTCTCCCCCCCCCCCCCCAGTGATCAGTCTGCTGCAGGCAGGAGGAAGCATTTCCTCACTCTCCCCTCCCCCAGTGATCAGTCTGCTGCAGGCAGGAGGAAGCATGTCCTCAGTCTCCCCTCCCCCAGCGATCAGTCTGCTGCAGGCAGGAGGAAGCATGTCCTCAGTCTCCCCTCCCCCAGCGATCAGTCTGCTGCAGGCAGGAGGAAGCATTTCCTCACTCTCCCCTCCCCCCAGTGATCAGTGTGCAACATTGTAACTTTGTATCCATTCACTAACCGTAAGGCATTGTCAGGGGGGTCATGTGATCTCTGTGAGAGGTAATACATACCTGGAGGGGTCACATGACTCGTATACATATCTGATGACAGGTCCTCTTTCATGATCTGTGATTATCAATCCGTTCCTCTTGCCCCGGGAATCAGACGGTTTCGGGTTTCTGTACATTGTATGAAGCCGCCGTGTGCCGGGAGCTCCGTCAGGGACAACATCGCGCACTTCCTGTTCCATGTCTCAGCGCTCCCGTCCGGGGGGTTCGGCAGCCACAGACCTCTGAAAATGGCAGCCGGGGCA